TTCTTAATCTGATTAAGGAAGTGTCCTTTTGTGATATGAGATCAAGAGGGTCTTTGTATGTTCATGAGAAAATATGTAATGATGGTCTCTGTTCTGCTTTGATGCTTATGCTGATGTCATCTCACTGCTGGCCTTAAGGTATAAAGAAAGACCTGCTGAGACCCTCAGGAGGAGATACTTGCAGGAGAGAAGGTGTCTGTGTGTGTCTTCCTCACTCCTGCCTTACTCCACTTCCCTGCAGCCTTCAGAAAAACTTCACCAAAGCCTTCCTCTCCTGCCGAGATCCCTGACGGGACATCTAGCTGGAGCTGGTCTCCAAACTTCTCAGAACTGAACTCCCTGTTCACTGAACTGCACCCTTTATCCTTCAATCAGACAGGCGTATGGAATCAGGAAGAGGTAAAATGAATCTTGATTTTCCCTAATTCTAACTGAAATTTAGCATTTTATTTAATCGCGGCATCAAATTACAGTTGTAGTAGCAGTGTCTGTGATTGTCCTGCCAGCAGAACCACATGTATTTTATGCTCTCATGATTGGTTTTGCTTTCACAGTTGACTGACCCTCAAGCAACAGGAGGGTGGGGCGCTGATCCCGGGCAGTGGAAAATCCATGTAGGACTTTTGAGCCCCCAGAAACTTTATAGTCATCCCTTGGTATCTGGGGGAGTTGGATTTAGAAATGACACCCCCACACCCCCAGCAGATAGCAAAAGTCCACGGATGCTTAAGTTCCATATAGTTGGCCTGGAAAGTCCTCAGCACAGAGTCAAGCTGCTGCCATCTGTTCACTGGACCGAGTCCAGCACCGCTAGCCAAAAAGCCACCAGGACCCTGATGCCCTGTTTCTGGGCTCTGCCCATTGTGGTTCCCGCCCTCTGTGTTTACTCAGTTCCAGCAGGGACTCAGCTCATCGGTGGCTTTGTTCTGGTCACCAGGTGGCACCAGAGACCTGCACTTGCTGACCTGTGCTTTTCCCCAGCGGTTCTCTGAGAAAGGGGGGCACCTCAACACAGGGGCTGTCGTTCAAGCCGGGTGCTGTGTCTGCTGCGCGTTCACCCCACACTGTGCCCGCAGCTGTATGGATCCCGCCCTGAATGCTGCACTCTAGGTCTCAGTTCCAGGGCTGTCAGGTCCAAAACGCTGGCTGTCACCCTGTGCAGTGCCCGCTGCTAGGGCATGTCCATGCCCCGTGTCCTGTGCCTGGTTCTCAGTCCCAGGCTGGGGTCTTGCTCCACGCCTGGTTTCCCTTCTTACCCCCTAGGCCACATTGTGCTACTTTTCCAGTGTCCAAACCTTGGACAGTTTATCTGCATTTATTGAAGTGATTCTTTATTCAGTTTCCACACACAGCTCTCTCCAAGATGTCCTCCTGCTCTTTTTTTAATGTTTGTTAATGTTGGATTTAACCAGTATGCAGTCCCTGATACTGCAGGAAATTATTCTGCGGTAGTCACATTTTCTGTGTTCTCTCTATTAGTTTATTCTCACCGACTGTTTTCTTTAAGGTATTTCTTCAGGCATTAGTTTATTCACTCAGTATGTTCATGGGAAGTTTTTGACAGTGGTAAATTTTCTATGAGTGGTGGTAAGAACAGTAATCATGGAAGTGGCCTTTGCTTTGTTGAAGTGATATTTTGTGAGAAAGTGATACTGGAATTGTCAGGCCTAGTCTCCCAGCCAGGAACAGAACCCAGGCTGCAGGGCAGCGCTGAGCCCCAGCCGCTAAACCCCCACGGGTTGGTGTCTCATGAAGCCGCATCAGGAAATTCGCAGACGCTCAGGCAAGCAAGCGAGAAGAGGCAAGTTTGTTTATAGAAAGAAAAAGTTTATTGAGGAGAAAAAGAACAGAAATAAAGTGGGACTCCCAGGCCAGGGAACCAGGCCTGGGAGGGGCAAGGAAGCCAAAGTGGAGTTGTGTCTTAGGGAATTTATACCTTTTTTTCCCTCATTATTCTAAAGCATTATTCACAGTCTATTTGTGATTGGTTAGTTCTCGGCTGTCTCACTTAATTTGCTACTGAGTGGGATCTTCACATTCATTATCTAACAGTTTTGTCTTTCCCCATTTGTTGCATCTTTATCTTTATGGCCCAGTCCTCTGGATGGGCATCCCTGCATTGAAGTTAAACAGCTGCCCTTCTAAGTTGTCCATAAATTAAACCACTCTCCCATTTCTCCAATCTCCGCCTCCCTTTACCACCTGAAGGAAACCAGGACTAGCATTAACAATGTTGTCCTTGGTCCTGGGATGTTTGTTTTTCCTAGTGGAATTGGTTACTTTTCCTTGGTTGTCCTTATCTCTGAAGCCTCCCTAAATTCTTCAGAGGTCCCCTCCTGCACTGTCCCTAAAACTGCATAATTCCTAGCTTGCCCTGTGTCTCAAAAGGAAAATGTGTGCCTCCCTGGTGGTGCAAGGGGTTAAAAGTACAGCACTGTGAAGCTATCTGTGGCCTCTGCAGCACAAGTTTGATTCCCATCCGGCCAGGGAGCTATCCACATGGTGTGGCAGACCTCTCCTGTCTCATCTGCTGCTCCCCTCAGCAATGTATTTCAGTCAGCCTGCCTGTTCTACTCCCCACTCTGACTCTGGAAAATCCTCTCACCCCCTACACTTCTGGTCTACCCCTTTGCTCTTGTATGCATAAATGAATAAAATCAATCTTTAAAAAAAGTAAATTAAAGTTCAAGACGATGGTGTGGGGAGCTGTATAGTTATTTTCTATGTCCTTTTTTATCAAACATACTTGAAATATTGTGAAGAGACCTGATGAATATAATTCAGCCCTAAATCACTTCACTCCATGGCTTTCTCCTGCTATGTAGGTGGAGTCATGTATTTGACTTTCGTGTGTCAAACATCTATGGGACCCTCCTCCAGTTGATGAGTTTGTTTACGTCTTAATTGCTTGGGTACATTTACAATGGTGTCACATATCATGGATGAAGAAAATCTAAATGGATATGCTGTTTGTGGCTGACTCAAAAGATTGATCTAAATCACCCAGAGGAGTTGTGGACTTCATTGTCGGCAATAAAGTTAGACACAAACATGCTGAAGTTCAACTCATTTCATCATTTTCTACTTCAGTTTATTAATATTCTCATGTGTCTTCATGGTAGTAATGGAGCCATGAATATTATTGGACATTGTTGCCAAAAGAAATCTTCACAAGCTTGTGATGAAAGAGCAGGTGAGCTTTTCATAACAGCGTAGAATTCTTGTGCATTCACATTAGCTAAGCAAAGCATCTTTATGTTGAACACCGACTCTGTGATCCAGGTATCAGAAGGTCAAGATGCTTCTTAAATACCTGAATGTTGGTTTTGATGAAATGTGTCTTGGTATCTGAATGTCTTGTTTAGACTATATGTGAACTTCTTATGTATATTTTTAAAATTTATTCATGCAAGAGCTGGGGTGCAGACCAAAGGGGTGTGTGTGTGTGTGTGTGTGTGTGTGTGAGAGAGAGAGAGAGAGAGAGAGAGAGGATTCACCAGAGACAGAGTGGGGCATAGCACAGGCCGACTGACTGAAATACACTACTGAGGGAAGCAGAGGGCAAGAAGGGAGAGGTCTGCCATACCCTGTGGGAGGCTCCCTGCTGTGGAGGGGGCAGATAGCTTGTCAGTCAGCACGGAGCTTAACCCCTTCAGCCCCAGGGCGGCCCCGTTGAGCTCTCTTCCCTCAGAGCCCTGAACCCATTAAGGGCCCCACAGTTTTCACGGGCCTCGCCCACCTGCCGGTTCTCCTCAACCTCCACTCCTCCCACTTCCAGGCCGCAGCCCCACCCCACGACGGCCCGACGGGCTGCGCAAGGGGTTGTGGGAAATGTAGTCTCCAGCCCCTGTGGTTCCCGCGGAGGTTTCTGGGCGGGGCTTCCGCGATCTGCGCAGGCGCGGCCCCACCCCCGTCCGCCCAAACATTCTGGCGCCTCTGCGAGCGCTGGGGCGCCCCGAGGTGAGCGCGGGTTTGTCCCGGGAGGCTGGGCTCGGGGGAGCGGAGACGCCAGGGGGTTGGGGGGCGGGGGGCGCGGACGAGCAGGGGCTCCGGCCGCGTGGAGTCGGGCGCTTTGGAGCCGATTCCCCCCGGAGCGCACGTGGGGGCGGGGCAGGTCCCTTGGGGAGAACGTCCCGGCCTTTCCGGGGTGTCCCCGGCGCGGCCGCCCGGCCCTGACCCCGGACGCTGCCCGGGGTCTTCCCAGGAGGCGGGGACGGGGTCCCCAAGGCGGGGCCCTGGGAAGCGCGGGTCCGCCTGTGCGCATGCGCGCCGACTCCTCTGGGCCCCCCAAATGTCGGGGTGTGAGGGAGGGGAGAGCCAGGCTGCGTTTCTGGGGGGGGTATTGCGCCCGGGGCCAGATTCACAGACCCAAGGTGGGCAGGTGACGTCGCGCGGGGTGCCAGGGGGAGGCGGCCCCTGTGGGGGCGGGGAGGTTGGCGGGAAACTGGGTTGGCAGGGCGGGGAGGGAGGTTGGGGGGAGTTCCTGGGGCGTTAGAGGCTAGTTGTCTGAATTTCTGGGTGCGCTTTGCGTTCCTGCCCCCAGGCGGCGTCCTGCTGGCTGCTGCACTCTGGTCTCCTGCCTGGATGTGCGCACCCCGGGGGGACTGCATCCCTGTAGGGGTGTCCACTGAGAGGAGGGCGGGAAGCGGCGCGGAGCCACTGCCGGGGTGTCCTGGCAGAACAGTGCGTTTGGGGAGTCGTCTCCTTGGAAATCATGTCCACGCTCTGAAGTGACTCATCAGCTTTGAGACTGTTGTTCTTGGCATCACTGTTGAGGCAGTGGACAGTGTCACCTTTGTTAAGTTATGGTGAGCCCTAAACCCAGCTTCTGCCGCTCATGGACTCGCGGGGCCTCTCCTGCCCCTGCTGGAAGTGTCACACGGCCGGCACCTCAGTGACTCTCTGGTGTCTCCAGGCAGCGTGTGGCGGGCTCTGGACAGGAGACTCGAGGACCCCGGGCAGCTGCCTCCGTCCTCTGTGCTGGACCCCATCGCCCCTCCCAGCGCCGCCTCCAGAGCCCTGGCACATCTGTGAGAGCAGCGACAATGGGTCAATCTCTGGTGAGTGCTGTGTTTGCTTCAGCTCCGGGTGCATTGACTTTATGCGAGTACATCAATGGACACGTAAATTAGAAACATAGTTTTCTCCAGGGACACATTCCTCACCAGAGAAACATGTGGCGTAGATCCAGGCACTTTCACATGTCCAGCATGTGTGAAGATGGGGCTCTGCCTTGGTGCTCACGCAGCGCAGAGTCAGAGTCTGTACCTGGGTCATGGTTGATGACGCTGAAGGTGTGGGCTGTGGCTCTTCACCCCGCTGGACAGAAACACTTCCCAGCTCTGCACTGGTCAGGTGCGGGGTGAGGGAGGAGGGGGAGGATGGGGCCTGAGGACCTGAGTGCAGAATGGGGGTGAAGGAGCCACATGTCTTTTAAAAAGGACAACTGATTTTTTTTCAAGATTGGTTAATTTTTACATGCACTGGGTACAGTCAGAAGCGCGGGAGGGTGAGAGAATTCACCAGAGCCAGAGTGGGGAGCAGAACAGGCAGAAGGACCAAAGTACACTGCTGAGGGGAGCAGCCGATGGCAGGAGAGGTCTTCGCGCCATGTGGGACCCTCGCTGCCGATCGAACTGGCGCTGCAGAGGCTGCGGGCAGCTTCACAACCCAACGCTCAACCCCTTGTGCCCCCCAGGAGGCCCCAACTGAATTTTTAAGGTTTCTGTGCAGTAGCTAAAATCATATACTGTGTCCTGCACAACTCTCGGAGACTTTCATGCAGGCATCAGTCTTGGCATGTGTGCCGTTGAGTCCAATGGGGGATCCTTACATACCTGTCCCTGCCTTTCTCTCAGGTGGCCTGCAAACTGAAGGTGCCCAGTAGACTCTTCAGAGTCCTTTTTTCTGGCCATTGTTTCCACTGCTCCTGCGCATTTCTCCTTGGTGTGGTCTGAATGCATTTCTAGTGACACTCACTACACCCTAAGTTGCTCTCCAGTCCAGTTACACTCTCCAAATTTTCCTGCCATGTTTGAGAACACCGTGTGTGACCTTTGGGAAATTTCATTTTTTTTAATTGTTTTAAAGCTTCTTATACTTTTTTCTTATTCTTTTACTTATTTTCCCTCCTCGATCTGTCATTGACATGTGTACCACTAAAAGCCTTCTGCTGAAATAGTTGCCAGTTTTTTCCTACAATCCCAATGGGTTTTGTCCTACCCCTTGTTTACCCTCTACCAAACCACTCTGGCCCGTCCCCCGTCTGCCTCCCTCCCTAACTTCTCCACCCATTCCCCTGTTCCCTCTGGTGGTCATCTTTACTTTCAAATGACCCTGTTCAAGTTTTATTCAAGTATTTTGGCTGTAAATGTTTTTTGGGTATTTATTTTCCACAGATGAGTGAAGCCATCTCATATGTGTCTTTACTTTTTGACTTATTTCACTCAAGAATAGCACCTCCCAGGGCCTCCCTGGTGGCACAAGGGGTTGAGATGCAACCGATGGGGCTGTCTGTAGTCTCTGCAGCACAAGTCCCACCCCCCGGCCAGCCAGGGAGCTACCCACATGGCGCAGCAGACCTGACTGGCCTGCTGCGTCCCTCGGCAGTGTTTTTCGGTCTATCTGCCTGTTCTGTTCCCTGCTCTGTCTCTGGTGAATCCTCTCACCTTCCTCCCCTGCACCTCTGGCCTGTACCCCAGCTCCTGTATGCATAAATCTTTAAAAAAAAAAATCACCTCCTTGCCCAACTATTTTATCCTCAGTGTGGCCCTTTGCTCCTTCCTCACAGCCCTGCAGTGCTCCCCTGTGTGTGCTCCACCCTTCCTGCCCTGCCTCTGCCGAAGGGATGTAGATTGGGCCATGACTGGGCAGTTGGAAACACAGCTGCTCTGCTCACGGATGGGATAAATCTTTTTGTGTTTGAGTTTTCCCGTGAGGATAATGTGTAGAAGTATTGCAGATGATATGGATTTTCCATTTTTATTTCCTAAGAAACCTCTGCACCCTCATCCACAGGGTCTGTTCCGACTGTCATGGCCACCAGCCGTGGGTGAGAGCTCCTTTTTCTCTGTGCCCTCTCCAGCTTTTTTCATTCCATATTTTCTTTTTTTTAGTGTTTCAATTTTTTAAATACTATTTTACATATTTTTACATCATTTTCATTTTTGCACAGTGTAATCATTTACATCTTCGTTATAGTCCCCATAAAATTCTCACCCCTCACCCCCCATTTTGTATAAATCCATTTGTTTTCATTTGGGCCTTCTCAAGGGGTGAGGTGGCATCTAAGTGTGCTTTTAATTTACATTTCTCTTAAAATAAGTTAAGGTGAACATTCCTATTGTCTGTAGGATGTCAGAATTCCCTCTCTAGAGAAGAGTGTATGTAGTTCCGTTGTCCATTTTTTAATTAAGATTTATTCATTTACGCATACAAGAACTGGGGTACAGGCGAGAGGTGCAGAGGGTGAGAGGATTCACCAGAGACAGAGTGAGGAGCAGAACAGGCAGACTTACTGAAACACACTGCTGAGGGGAGCAGTGGGGAGTCAGGAGAGGTCTGCTGCGCCATGCGGGTTGCTCCCTGCCAGCCAGGGATAGAACTCCCGCTGCAGAGGCTGTGGAGAGCTTCATAGGCTGCGTCCCAACCCCTTGTTTTAACCAGGGAGGCCCCCCTTTGTCCATTTTTAATTGAGTCATCAGTTGGATTATCGCATTGTTTGGGGATGTTATAAATTTTGGAATGAACCCCTTGTCACATGTGTGGCATGCAGATTCTTTTTCCGTTCTGTAGACTGCCTTTCCGTTTTTGGGCTGGTTTCTTTTAAGGTGTGAAAGCTTTTAGTTTTAATGGTGTCCCACTTGTTGATTTTTGCTTTTGTTTCCCTGGATGTTGGGGTTGTGTTCCCTAGTGCACTTTGGGGCAACTGTCCTAAGTGTGTCCCTATATTTTCTGTCAAGTACATCACCAAATATTTAAACCATTTGGAATTTTATAGATTGATTTATTTATCCATATAAGAGCTGGGGTACAGGCCAGACATGTGGTGGGTGAGAGGATTGACCAGAGACAGAGTGGGGAACAAAACAGGCAGATCTGGTGAAATACACTACCTAGGGGAACAGCAAGGAGACAGGAGAGGTCAGGTGTGCCGTGTGGGTGATTTCCCTGACTGGGGATTTAACTCATGCTGCAGGGGCTGTGGATAGCTTCATAGTGCTTTGCCTTAACCACTTGCTTCACCAGGGAGACTCCATGTTGCTGTATTAAGTCGGTTGGTATTTGTTGAGGATTTTCGCTTCTCTATTCTTTGGTGGTGTTGGTCTATTTTTCCCTTTTATGCTGTCTTTTTTTGGGGGGGATCAGGGCAATGTTGACCTCGTCGTATGTGTTGGTGAGTTTTCCTCCGTCTTCAGTGTTTTGGAAGATGCATATTTCTTTGTGTTTGCTTCTGTCATGGTCTCTCTGATGATTTCTTTTCTGTGTCCCTGAATGCTTGAGTATCTTGTGCTCCTGAATGTAGCTAGTCCCTGTGTTCCGATCTGGTCTCCCGTCTTCAGTCTGCACTTCTCCTGAGTGAGTCAGTCAACTGTGTTTTGCCATTTCTGCCAGTTACACTTAAGCGTGGGCCTCCTGCCCAGGCCTAGTACCACAGGCTCGGCTCCCACCTGACTGTGCCTGTAGCCGTCCCAATGGCACCTGCCGCTCATGCAACATGCAAATCTCGTCTTGTGTTGTGCCCTCCCGTGTGGGATTAGATCTTTCTCAGCCCAGGTCTCCCGCCACCAGAAAGGGATTTCTCTGTTCCAGAGTTTAGTCTCACCCAACGCAAGTTACTCTTCAATATTACCTGATATCTTAATGGTTGCTAACAACAGCACCGCCATGCGTACATGTGTGAGTGTGTGTGTGTGTGTGTGTGTGTGTGTGTGTGTGTGTGTGTGTTCAGTTTCTTTCACATTACAGTTCTCATTCTTGGCCAAACCTGATGGATGCATTTTCTCAGTGATGAGATTGCTCCATTTTCTGCCTCCGACTGGCCAGGGTGTGGTGACACCTCAGAGTTCAGGGGGAGAAAGTGCTCAGGGGTCAGTGGGACACCTTTGAACAAGGGTCATAACACATACACTCGCTGAGTAAAACCAGGTAGCGCAGATGTTCATCATTTGACCTTTGGTTGTTGGGAGTTTATGTCAGTGATGCTCAATGTAGTTTTTAATAAAGAGCTCCAGGTTTCTGTCATCGAGTCTGGAGTATAGTAGGTGTGTTTGCATTTGTCATACGTATGATTCTTGCTGAAGTTATGGTTAATGGTAGATTTTTTTTAATTTTGATAGATGTTTATAGAATATTGATAGAATGAATATATTTTGCAACCTAATTTTACCAGCTCTTCTGTCACCTGTGACCATGCAAGTGTTTCATTTTTAAACCTTTGCACTGTGGGGAGCAGCAGTGGCTGCTCTTCTGCCCAGCATGACTGTTGCTTCCTTTTCTCCTTTTCCTAGTAAACGTGGCCCTCCATTCATTCATTCATTCATTCATAATTTAAAAGATGAACTTATTTATGCATACAGAAACTGGGGTATGGGCCAGAGGTGTGGGGGGGAGGATTCTCCAGAGACAGGGTGGGGAGTAGAACAGGCAAATCTATTGAAATACACTGCTGAGGAGGGCCTCCCCGGTGGCGCAGCGGTTGAGCGCTGGGTTGCGAAGCTGCCCGCGGCCACTGCGGTGCCGGTTCGATCCCCGGCTGCTCCCCGGCCACCGGAGGAGGGTCCTACATGGCGCGCAGACCTCTCCTGCCGCCCGCTGCTCCCCTCAGCAGTGTACTTCGGTCCTTCTGCCTGCTCTGCTCCCCTATCTGGCTCTGGTGAATTCTCTCACCCTCCCGCACTTCTGACTATACCCAGTGCATGTATAAACCAACCAACCAAATAAATAAATAAATAAGACATGCCTCTAGAAAAAAAAAAAAAAAAAGAAATACACTGCTGAGGGGAGCAGTGGGCGAGTCAGGAGAGGTCTGCCACACCATGTGTGTAGCTCTCTGGCTGGGGATTGAACTTGTGCTGCTGTGGCTGCGGGACAGCACCATAGGTAGTGTCTTTACCTTTGAGCCACCAGGAAAGCCCCTGACCCTTTATTTAAATGTAAAATAAAAAGTCTCCTTTCGCTGTTGTTGCATGTGGTGTTCTTTGGCTTTTAGTATCTGACAGTGTTATACAGCCATCACCACCTTCCAGATTTTTTCATTTCCCAGTAATGAAATACTGTACTCATTAAACTCTCGCTCCCAACTGCTCAGTCCCTCAGCCCCTGTATCCACCATTGACTTTCTGTTTTCAAGAGTTTGACAAACAGACCTGTATGAATGGAGTCTTATTACACCTTGTTTTCTTGGTGAATCTCTTATTTTATTGCATTGTTAACTGTTTTGTCATTTCATAGGTATCGTACAGGAGTGCATTCATATCGTAGTGTGTGTCATTGTTTAGTTACATTGTGAGGCTCATTAATAACCTCTTATGTGTATTTACCAGTCTTATTTATCCATTAATCCATCACCTGGGGCTTGGGTTGATTTTGCTTTGGGCTGTAATGACTGGTGGTGCAGTGACAGTAGGTGAGCAAACGTCTCTGCCCGTTCCTGCTGTCCCTGCTATTGGTGAACACCCCGGGGTGGGTGTGGGTCCTCCTGTCATTCTGAGTTCCCTTTTCCCAAGAATCACCTTCCTGTCTTCCCTCCTAGCTGCATCATTTATGTTTGCCCCAACAGTGTGCAAGGGAGCCCGGTCCCAATTTTTGCCAGTACTTGTTCTTTTCTTTCTTTTTAAATCATTGTGATCCCAGCGGACGTAAAATCTCATCTCTTGTACTTCTCATTCATTTTTACTTTGTGCCTGCTCGTATTGAGAACGTTCATGTGTTAGGACCCGCTTGGGTATGTGATTTGCAGAACTGTGTATTCCAGTCCTTTACTCATGGCGGCATATTTCCATTTTGAACAGGGTCGAAAACATGAGGGGATTGCATTGTCCCATTTCGTCATATGATCCTTTTATGGCATCCTGAGCCCACTCCTGCTGGGAGGTCCCGTGAGTTTCTATGCGCGGAAATGAGCCATCCACCTTCTCTCTGCTGTTTTATTTCTCGTATTAGTGTTTTAATCAATGAGCCTGTAAATAAATGCATTTTTGTTTTCCTAGAACTGGGATGTGCCAGGTTACCTTGCGAGAGTTGCTGTCAGTGCAGCAGGCTCTTAGTGTCCTGGATGCTGTTGTGTCTTTGCATTTGTTTAATTCATTGTTTAACCCTCCGGGTTTCTTTATTCCAGCGAGTCTCTGCCCTTGGTTCCGCTACATGCATTGCTTACTGTTTTGTCATTTCATTGGCAGCGTACAGGAGCTCCTGTGTGTGTGAACACGGGTGTGTTTTATAGTCTGCTCACTGGGTTTTCCTTTCCAGAGTTGCTTTACTGTGGCTTTCATTAGTTTTCCAAGAATGGATTATAACTAGTTATGACCATTTTTATGTATGTTGTCTTTTTGTTGTTGTTGTTACGTAACGTCACCCAAACCCATTGTGAATAGGGGACACTGAACATCTTTGTTAGTCCTCCTCTCACTGTGAATGTTGATTTCACCTGTGGCTGTGTCAAGGACTTGTTTTGTGTTGAGGAAAAATCCTCTGAATCCTTTTTTAGCTAATACAAATGGAAATTTATTTTAATGGGTTCCTATTTTATATGTATGTGGAGGTGCACAGGATTTACTACACAGGAAAGGAAATGATTGAATAAATTTATGGATTTCTTAAGATGTTTGTTTTCTTACACCGTGTATCTTATTTTCCAAAACTCTTTCATTGCTATGATCTCTTATTTTCTTTCTCCAAAATAAATATATGTCTCTTCTAGTTGTTTTACCTCTTCTTTCAATACCTTTTGTTCTGGTCACTGTGTTCTCCCCTACGGTGATGAAACTATCAATAATATCCTGGAGATTCCCAAATTCTTTCTTTTCTTTAATATTTATTTTATGTATGCATATAAACACTCGGGTGTAGGCCACAGGTGCAGGGGATGAGAGCATTCACCACAGACAGAGCGGGGAACAGAACAGGCAGACTGAGTGAAATACACTGCTGAGGGGAGCAGTGGGGAGACAGGAGATATCTACTGCACCTTGTGGATAGCTCCCTGGTTGGGGATCGATTTCATGCTGTAGCAGCTGCCGATAGCTTCATAGTGCTGAGACTTAAACTCTTGTGCCACCAGGGAGGCCCTGATTCCCAAATTTCTGTTTTCAAATTAGACTTCCTGATCTATCAGACACATGTCCAGTTGCATGAGGAATTCCAGTGTCTACCAGCCCGTCATGTGTACAGCATATTAGGAAAACATTCCTCGTACCAAGTTCTCTTCCCCTTTGTCCTTCCATTTTAGAACTGATGAACTGCTCTATCATCTTCTGACTCTGTCAGCTGAACATCTTTTCTTAAAATTTTATTTTATATATATTTTACATCATTTTTTTATTTCTGCACAAGTTATGCATTTTCATCTTGGTTATAGTCCCCATACATCCCACCCCCCTTATTTTGACCCTAATCCCTCCACCCGCCCATAGTGCATCTCTGGTTTATACTTGCTTGTAGTTGAACATCTCTTACCTGTGCTTTTTCCCACCTCATTGCTTGAACATTCTGGTTTTGGGTTCAGTTTTTGTTTACTGTGAGTTGGAGATACCAGGCTTTGAGGTCACAGGAGTAAAATATTTTCACAAAGTTGTACACGATTTTCATGTGTTATGAAGCTCCTTTAGCACATGATTCCGGGTGTATGTCTGTTACACCTGCCAGCCAGGCTATCAGCTCCTCAAGGAGCCAATTTTATTCATCCTTTTATTCTTAGAATCATAGACACTTCCAAATATATAAGGTAAGCTATAGTTCTACTTGTAGCACCAAAGGGGTGAATGTGGAGACGAGGCTCTTTCATCTGCAAATTCTATACAGGACCGAAGACCCACAAAATAAGATGTGTTTGCACATGCTCTATCTGACCCAGGCTGTCGGCCCTGAGATGAGAAATATTCCCTCAGAAGAGACAGTGTCATTTGAAGATGTGGCTGTTAAATTCACATGGCAGGAGTGGCGGTACCTGAGTGAAGCTCAGAGGACCCTGTACCGGGATGTGATGCTGGAGACCTGCAATCACCTACTGTCCCTAGGTGAGGAAGCTCCAGTGTAACACTAGTGCAATGCTGTCTTCTGCACCGATAAGTGTGCACTTGCTTATGAAACTGAGTGTTGGTGAGGTTGAACATGGCAGGCAGTGTACATTGTGGGTGTTTTGGCTTTCATTTGGAAAGATTCAGATTGGCCTCTTTTGAACAGCTCTTTACACTGCATTTGTTAGTTTTCAAAGACTGAAGTTGAACTTGATCAAAGACCAACACTTTCTCATCACAGGGCATTGTGTTACCGATCCTGAGGAGAGCATCAGGTCGGAGCAGGGATTACAGCCGTGGACTGTGGACGATCCCCCAAACCAGGACCTCTCAGGTCAGTCAGTGCTTGCCAGGCCGGGAGGCTGAGAGGGGCTGGGAATGTGGCCAGTGATATTGGCCACACTGAGGTGCTTTTCCAGTGTCCAACCTTGGAGAGTGTGTCTGCATATATCAAACTGATTCTTTATTCAGTTTCCAAATATTAATCTCTTGTGAATTTCGTCCTGCTCTTTTAATGATGGTTGTCTATGTTCTTAAACCAGTATGCAGTCCCTGATACTGTGGGGATTATTCTGCAGTGATCACATTTCTCTGTTCTCTCACTTAGTGTATTCTCATAGACTGTTTTCTTTAGGTACTTGTTGAGGGATTTTTTATTCTTTCCGTATGTTTATGGGAAGTTTAGCCAGTGGTAAATTTTCTGAGGGGAGAGCAACAGTACTCACAGAAATGATCTTTACATTCTGAAGTTATATGCTCTGTGAGGAAAGAATATGTAATATATACATTCATTAATAGAGAGGTAAAGCCACAGAGGATGTTTGACCAGCATGAGTGGAGGATGTTGTTTTTGTGTGTGTTCCATACGCATCATTATAGAGATAATTCTTTTCTTTCAAGAGCTCAGGTGAGGTGAATGGGTTGCACTGACATGTCATATCTATAGTTCCCTCTGCAGTCTGGGATAGAGGCTATGTATTGCTATTGGAGATGTCACTGAGCCGGTGACTAACTCAAAAGGGATAGAGAGGCGTTGACTGGAGAGTTATTTAGAACATGAGTAGTGTTTCAGGGGCAAGCCTTGTGACCACCCTCATAGTAATTGTGAGGCTGAGGAGGACCCAGAATTGTTCAGCGTTGGAAGGGATGTTCTGTGACATGGGAGGGGGAACCTGAGGTGGTGGTTTCTAAAGCCATGGAACCAAGAGTTTCAGGTTGGGGGCTCATACCTTGGGGAGCAGTGTGACCTGTGCAATTCCACCTTCTCGTGGGAATCGTTGGGAGGAAAGTAAAGGAATCGACGACAGTGTGATGTAGCTGAGAGTCACACACGACAAAAAAACTGGAGCTGCTATGAACAAAGCAGAAACACAGGTTCCAGGGAGTGCGTTGAGACCACCAGGGTGTTGCTCTCAGAAGGATGTGAGAAAAGACGTTAATGCTGATAACACAGGATGGATGCAGAACATTTTTCCTATCGCTTAGCAGGAACGTGGGACACAATGATGAGGTGGAGTTTGCTGCATGTATTAGGATTCTGAGCCTTATGTGATACAATATTTAAATATGAACTGACTGGTCTCTTCCGTGGAGGGAAGCACATGCCTCTGAGAACCTCTGCAGGTGACCGTGGCCCGGGGCGGGGTTGAAAGAAAAGCTAAGGAAATGGAGAAGCAGAGTCCTTGTGTCTCAGCAGGCCTCTTGCTTAAAGTGCCTGGGCAATGATTGGGTCTCTCAGTCCACAGGTTTCTGGGAAAGCCATGGCCTCTGCAGGGCTTGGTTATTCAGAAAGTACCCTCAAGAGCTGCACAGGGTCAGTCTAAGAAAGAAAGTGTGTAGGATCTATGTTGGGTGAAATGCTTCTGGTTGAAATCGACAACTCTAGTTAAAAGACTATATTTACCAAATATTTATGATTTTATAAAACCATTGTGAAATTAGATTTACTGCTTTGTTATCCTGGTTTGGCATTAGAAAATCTGTTAATTGGGGCCTCCCTGGAGGCCTAGGGATTAAGTCTCTTAGCTCTCACTATTATGGCCTGAGTTTGATCCACAGTGAAGGAGTTCACTGACTTTGGCACAGCAAATATCTCCTGTCTCACCCGCTGCTCCCCTCAACAGTGTATTTCAGTCAGTCCGCCTGTTCTGGTCAACATACTCCCCTACAGCATGCTCCCCTACAGCACCCCCACGCCTGCACCTCTGGCCTACACCCCAGATCTCCTATGCTAAAGTAAAAAATACCAAAAAATCTATTCTGCCCATAATTTACTATGGGCAAAAAGCATGAATCAGAAAATCAATACCTGTAAATTATGTTGTAATATAGGAACTTCCATGCCGCTTAGTAGTATTCACTCAGAATGCTTCCTTTTTAGAGACATGGTCATTTTTATCTCACTTTAGATGTCTGTACTGTGGATCACCTGACTCAGGACAGCCCTGCAAATCAGGGCAGACATTTGTGGCAAGTTCTTACCACCAGCAGCAAAACACCATCCAACGAGAGAACTGACTTAATGGAAAAAATCAATTTGCACTCAATTCATTGTTTGAACAATAGTATCAAAAATGAAAACAATTCAGCAGTGATGTCTGAGAACTTTACTATACATAGGACCATGATGATCCCTGGTGAGCCTCATGAAGAACATGCTGGAGAGAATAAGGAGGTCTCTAGTAGAATGAGGGAACCCATCAAGTATCCTGAGCACCTTAGTCACCAGGTGATTGAGAACATTCAACAGCCTTTTGAATTTCGTGAACAAGGAAAAGTCATGAGTGAAGAAACAGTATTTACACCTAGAGGAGCCCTTCTGGAAGGGATTGTCCATAAATGCAATGAGTGCAGTGACACCCGTGATAAGGTACCTTTCGTTGTCCGAGACAGAACCCAAGGAGGACAGACTCGCTGCAGTTGTAATGAAAAGGGGAGAGCTGCGGAGATGACTCCAGTGCATTTGAATCCTCCTAGGTATGTTGAACATGAGCAGCAGAAATGTTATGAAAGTGGGGCCAGTCTCAGAAACACATTTCACACCTATCCGCGTGAGAGTACCCAGTTAGGGAAGAATAATTTGGGATATAAGAGATATGGTGAAGCGGCCTCTAAAACCTCTGTTCTGACTGAACATCAGAAAACACAAGCAGACGATCAACCTGATGAGTGTGGGGGCACCGCTGAGATTTCCTTACAGAGGGGATACCAGAGAAATCTCACTGCAGTGAAGTTGTTTGGCTCTAACGTTTATGTGAAAACTTACTCATGGAAGACTGCCCTCACTTTACATCCACAGTCTCAAACGGGAGTGAAGCGCTACCCGTGTCAGGTGTGTAAGAAAACTTTCAGGCAGAAACTTGCTTTTAGTGTCCATCAGAAAACTCATACAAGGGAGAAATCCTATGAATGTCAGGCGTGCAGGAAAGTGTTCTCCGGTAAGTCAGTTCGTGTTCTACATGAGAGGACTCACACTGGAGAGAAATGCTATGAATGTGAAAGGTGTGGGAAAGCTTTTTCCAGGAAGTCTCACCTTACTGAGCATCAGAAAATTCACACTGGAGAGAAGCCTTACGAATGTCAAGAGTGTAGGAAGACTTTCCACTGGAAATCATCCCTCCCTCACCATCAGAGAGGTCACACTGGAATGAAGCCTTATGAATGTAAAGGGTACAGGAAGACTTTCGACTGGAAATCATCCCTCACTGAACATCAGAGCGGTCACACTGGTGAGAAACGCTATGATTGTGAAGGGTGTGGGAAAGCATTTTCTCGTAAGGCACACCTTATTAGACATCAGAGAATTCACACTGGAGAGAAACCCTATGAATGTGAAGGTTGTGGGAAAGCTTTTTCCAGTAAGTGTTACCTCAAGGAGCATCAGAGAATTCACAGTGGAGAGAAGCCTTATGAATGTCAAGAATGTAGTAAGAATTTCCAATGGAAATCATCCCTCAGTCTCCATCAGAGAAGTCACACTGGAGAGAAGCCTTATGAATGTCAAGAGTGTAGGAAGACTTTCCAGTGGAAATCATCCCTCAGTAAACATCAGAGAATTCACACTGGAGAGAAACCCTATGATTGTGAAGGGTGTGGGAAAGCTTTTTCCCGTAAGTCCAACCTCATTAGACATCAGAGAAGTCACACTGGAGATAAACCCTATGATTGTGAAGCGTGTGGGAAAGCTTTTTCCCGTAAGTCCAACCTCATTAGACATCAGAGAAGTCACGCTGGAGAGAAACCCTATGATTGTGAAGCGTGTGGGAAAGCTTTTTCACGTAAGTCACACCTCATTACACATCAGAGAATTCATAATGGAGGGAAATCCTATGAGTGTCAAGAATGTGGGACGGCTTTCCACCAGAAATCATCCCTCAGTAAACATCAGAGAAGTCACAGTGGAGAGAAGCCTTATGAGTGTCAAGAGTGTGGAAAAACTTTTTCCCGTAAGCAAGCTCTCACTGGACATCAGAGATGTCGCTGGACAAAATCCCTATGATTGTGAAGAGTGGGAATACTTTTCAGGAAGTCAGCCCTCACTAGGCATGACAAACTCCACACTGGAGGGAAACACTATGAATGTCAAGAGTGTGCAGGCAATCCTCCCCTGGTGGTGCAGGTGGTTAAGCGCAGTGCTGTGAAGCTGTCCGTGACTTTGCGGTGGGAGTTTGATTTCCTGGCCGGCCAGGAGCAGCCCCATGGTGCGGCAGACCTCTCCATTCTGGCCCACTGCATGTATTTCAGCAGTGTATTTCGGTCAGTCTGCCTGTACTGTTCCCCGCTCTGTCTCTGCTGCATCCTCTCACCCTCCCACACATCTGGCCTGTACCCTGGTTCTTGTATGTTTGAATAAATAAAAATCTTTTAAAAATATTCAAACGTAGGAGCTCAAACCACATCATGCAGCTGAGAGCAATGGGAACTGACATACAGTTTCAATCCTAATTGCGTGGAGTTACCTGGTTCACTCTGTTCTCCCAAGTTCATGCAGTCATGATGTTGCTGTTCCTGTTGCCGTTGCCTCTAGTATCCTCTTAAGTTCCTGGGCGATGCTATGCCTGTCCACAGCAGCTGTCTGTCTACATGGCACACTGCATGTTGCGTGGGTAAGTGATCTCTCTGGGTTTTGTAACTTAGTCGTCACATTCTGTCCAGTACTCTAGGTCTCTGTGGTGCCCCCTGATGCTGGAATTGCTCACCACCAAAATGTCCTCCTCTAGAAGGAAACGTTGAACTGTGTGCTATCGGCTATAGGTTGAGGTCTGCAGATGTCTTTACCTACTTTTCATGATGAAGGTTTTTCGGGGCCTCCCTGGTGGCCTTGGGGTTAAGTCT